CCGAGAGCTCTCTTGCCTCTTTTCACCATGTGAGGTTAAGTGAGAAGGCAGCCATCTGGGAACCAGGAAGCCCCCCCTCGCCAGACACCGAATCTGCAGGTGCCTTGATCTTGGACTTTCCCACCTCTGGACGTGTGAGAAATAAATTTCTCTTGTTTATAAGCCACTCAGTTTATGGCATTCTGTTATAGCACCCCAAATAGACTAACACACTGGCCCAGGGTGTACTTTTATAATCTAAGGCTTTGGGTAGTAGCCCTTTGATGTTTGAAGAAGATGACATAATTGTGTTTCTGTGTGTGTTATATGAGAGTCTTCCAAATTTAATCATGTAATAGCTACCATTTTATTTTCATGTAGTCTTTTTTGTTACAGGTATTAAAGACAGAGTAATAAAAATCCATAGAAAATTAAACAATGTCGTTTTATAGCAAATAATGTACTTTTTAAAAACTAGGATTACATGAAAAGGCATCATTGATTTACCTTTTTAAAAGTCTCACCTCAAAGGTACACATCAATTATAAAAATATACATACTGGTTGTAGAAATGTAAAAATAAGTATGGCTTAAATTATAGAAATACAATAGATTTTCTCTTTTTCTTTATATAGCAAATTATTTTACTAGACCTGTTATTAAATTATACTGATCCATAAATATTTGAATGCCACCCATTTATACTATAACAATAATTTATTATTCTGGGTGGTCAGTCATACAAAAACTTAGAAAATAGAGTTCTAACGTGGAAAATCATTGTGCTCTCCCTCTATCCAAACTTGTTCTTGGAACAATCCTGCTTTAAGAACTATAATAATGCTAAGGTTCACGAACCTTCTCTCTGTCTCCTCAGAAACTTACCCAGATCAGCATTTCCCCATCTTTCATGGAATAAAAGGTAGGGATGTGGTCAGTTTTCTGAGACATGTTGCCAAAATTTTAAGGTTATATCAACAAAAGAGTAGATATAAGAATGAACCATCCTTTCTATTAAAATGGGAGGAAAAAAGACCCAATTTCTTTTAGAGGTTTGCTTTGAACACTTTCTCTGTGTTCGGCAGTGACCTGAAGCTGCTTCTACCACCACACCCAATCCCACAAGGATTTTAATTGGCATGCCTGATAATATTGTTTTAAATTTAGTAGGAAAGGCCTCCCACCACTAACTGTTTCTATAGAGCGTTATTGAACTCTTGGGGAATTTTCCCTCCAAAGAAAGCATGGAATTCCTCTCTGAAATATTTATTTCTCTAGGCCTCTAAATGGAAGTGTCTGGAATAAAAAAGTGAGTGAGAAGGAGAATAGGAAAGCAGGAGAGAGACAGGGTGGTGGGGGAAGGAAGGAGGGGGAGAGAGAGATTCTTGGCAAATTAATTTTTATTGTAATTTATTTAGTAACTCTATTATTACCTATCGAAAGCAAAGGAATGCGATTTTAACAATTTTGAAGTTTCACGTTTGCCTTGTCAGTCTGTAGGTTGTGCCCGTGGAAATCCTCTTTTTGGATTTTGCACATTCAGCTAAGAACAGATTTGATGTTTTCCAAGTGAGATTTGGAAGATGCTAACAAAAAACTTCAGTAGTGTGAATGAAATGTCTACTGAACATGTCCCATATCTTTGGAAATACACTTCTTTTCAAATGACTCAATAGTAAGGAATTAAATGACTAATTATTTGCTGTTTGATGTCTAATAATCAGATATCATTGAACCTAAAAATCATTTTTTTCTTTAACTCTTAGATTACGTCTAAATTCCAGGCTGCAATAATAGATGTCTCACCATTTAGGGTCATGCCAAGATTTTTTTTTTCCTGATAGTAATTTTCCATTTGTCTCCCAACTTAAATNCCTGATAGTAATTTTCCATTCGTCTCCCAACTTAAATTCCAGAATATTTGGACATGTCAGGATGAGATGTCCTCTGTTCCGCCATTTAGATGCATGACATACTACCTCCAAGTCTACCCCTATTAAAATAATCTAATCTNTCCTGATAGTAATTTTCCATTTGTCTCCCAACTTAAATTCCAGATTATTTGGACATGTCAGGATGAGATGTCCTCTGTTCCACCATTTAAATGCATGACATACTACCTCCAAGTCTACCCCTATTAAAATAATCTAATCTACATTTTTTTAACTTTGCTTGTTCTAGTGTAAAACTTCATTGTTGGATACTTTTAGAAAATATATAACCGTGTTTGATTTCCTTCTTTCATATCCTTCAGATGATCTCAAGTGACCCATGTCCTTTCTTATGCCTCCTACAGAGATAATCACCAAAGAGTGGTTGCTGGTTGATAGACACTGAAGTCAGAAAGATCAATAAAAATGAAGAACCAGAGTCCAGGTCTGATGCTTTTCCTGCCATCACTTCCAAAGTAGCCTTTTCCATGCGTCCAGGTAACGCATGGGCTTTCAATCCAAGATTAAAAACATCTGCTAGAGGAATTGTCAAACAGTCTTGGAACACTTAGTTGAATTCACAGGAACTCCATCTGGGACTGGTGATACTTACTTCTTTCATATCTTTAATTGTTTCTAGCACCTCCGTAGATCAAAGTTCTCTCCATAATCCTTTCTTTCCATCATGGCATATTTACCCATTTTATATCAAAATATATAATCTTTACCATCTGGTTTCATAGAGGAATATAAATCTTTATCAAAGTAGATTAACATTAAGTAACTTTTTTTCAGCGCTGTGTGACTGCATTTCTTTCTTATGTGCAAATTTAAGGAAATCATCCCCTCTTCTCTTCCATGGTAAATTTTAAATTTAGAAACAAGATTCCTGAGCTTTTCTAACTGTGGAGTATTTTTACATGCCTTGTGCTTGAATGTAGAAGTTCAAAGGAAGTTAGTATTTTGTTACCCTTCATCTTCTGTATTAGAATGATATATAGTGTTCTCACAACACAGTCTTGATTGTAATTTTGCACATTTGCAAATCTATGTCATGCCACAAGCTATAAACATTTAAAAGACTCGATTAGGTTTTAATAATTTTTAGTACTTGGCCCAGTGACACTCAATAAATTATTATATTAATAGCACATTAAATTATTATGCTATTATGTACTTAACTATTATGTTAAAATATTAAAATGAAGATTTTCATGTTAAAATGAAAATTGTAAATCAGCTAAAATTGGCAAAAACTATGAAAAATGAGCTAATTTTAAGGCACAGCTTTGGAAAGGTAGGATTTCTTATAATGACATATTTCCTGTTGAACTTCAAACAGTAAAGTGTTTTAGGAGCAAATGTTAGGGAAAATGTTGGTGAAATCTGTAAAAGAAAAGAAAATTCTAATGATTAGGTCATGTGAATACACCAATTGTTTTTGAAATTGTAACTCCATAAGCTTTTGCAATAATATCATATTTACATTGATAAAGTGAAACATTTATGCTTGGACAATTAAATTTATAAGCTCATAGTTGTCTAAAAAAGCAAAATACTTTTAAATACTTAGGATGGTTCTCTTTTATCTCCTGAATTAATTGTGGGTGTACAATGTGCCTAGTAAAGAAGAAAGAACCATAAAGTGCAAATTCAAGGCTTAAGTTTTAATCCAATGTCTGATACTAACTAGAAATTATGATAATAGACAATGTATTTAATTTTCTCTGGGCCTTATATGTAAAATGAAAGAATTGGAACATATGATTCTTAAAGTTTTTTTAAATGTTAAAATTCTATAGTACCCCAAGACAGAAAACATTTAGATGATACTCACTCACACTTGAAACGAATATAATCTTGTATCTCTACTATAATTGAAAATTAAGTAAAAAGAAAATAACTACTCAAGCCAAATACCACATATAATTCTGTAGTGTCACCCTAACCCTCACCCTTAAAAGCTAAGTGGGGAGCTGAGAATTCACCTTCATGGGTTTGGAATGAGATACCTCAACACCCCCACTGTGATGATGTCAGAGAAAGTCGAGTAGAGAGCTAGGACTTTTGTCCCTGCTGGCCAGTGCTCTCATTTTAAGTCTCAGTGTCAGTGGAGACCAAGTAGAAAGCCTGGACTTCCACTCCCCCCATAAGTAATAAGGCATTCCATCCCCTTTCCACTGGGTGGTATCAGAGGAGCCCTAGTGGAAATTCAGGATTTTCACAATGGCTAATCCACCCAGCAGTAATGAGGAGTTTCCCTTCTTGTGTAAATGAAGGATGAATGGGGAATGTGGACTTTAGCCACCAGCTAACAATAATGAGGTGGTGCTCTGCCTTCTACTGACAGAGCAGTGTCAGAAAAAGTTATAAAACAGAAGGTTTAAATATGACCTAGAGCCTCAGAAAATGGTAAAAAGAAAAAAGTGTCCTGGTTGCAATAGAAAATCACCCATCATACTAAGAACCAGGAAGATCTCATTCTGAATGAAAAGAGGCAAGCAAAAGATAGTAACACCAAGATGACCTAGATGCTAGAACTGTCTGACAAATATCTTAAAAGAACCATCAAAAACATACTTCAGTGAGCAACTAAAAACATATTTGAAACAAATGAAAAAATTAGAAAGCCTCATCAAAGAAACAGATATATAAAGAATCAAATGGAAATTTCAGAACTGAAAAGTACAAGAACCAAAATGAAAAGGCCAGTGGATGGACTCAAGGGCAGAATGGAAGTGACAAAGGAAAGAATAGCTACCACTGAAATCACTGTCTGAGCAGCGGAGGTCAAATAAATGAAACATAAATGAAAACAATCTCAAGGACCTAGGAGATTATACCAAGACATCTAATATTCGTGTCATTGGAGTCCTAGAAGGAGGCGTGAAAGAGGGATGAAAAAATACTCAAAGAAATAATGGCTGAAAACACCCCAACTTTGATAAGAGATATAAACCTACAGATTTAGGACACTGAATGAGTCCCGAAGAAATCCATGCCAAAGCACCTCAAAATTAAAGTCCTGAAAATTAAAGAAGAAGTCTTGAAAGCTGTTAGAGAAATACAACACCTCATATATAGGAGAGAAACAGAAGACCAGAAGATTTCTTATCAGAACCCATGGAGGCTGAAAGGAGAAATTCTGAAATACTTTTAACAATAAAGATAAACAAACAAACAAACAAACAAAAAGAATTGTCCATCCAGTCCTATAGCTAGTGAATGTGTCTTTCAGGAACGAAGGGGAAATTGAGAGAAAGATAAACTAAGAGGATTTGTCCCAGGAGACCTACCCTCAAATAGCGGCTAAAGGAATTTCTCTATTCAGAAAGGAAACAATATAAAAAAGAACCTTAGACTTTCAGGAAGAAAGAGCATAATAAGCAAAAATATGAGTAAATACAATAAGCTTTTATTCTCTGCCTCTCTCTCCCTCTCTTCCTCTCTCTCTCTCTCTCTCACTCACTTTCACTCTCTTTTGCTTTCCTGTAACATGTCCTTATATGTCTATCTGAANTCACTCAATTTCACTCTCTTTTGCTTTCCTGTAACATGTCCTTATATGTCTATCTGAACCCAAGTTTGTACTATGCAAGGCCTTTCCCATCCTAACTTCCTCATTTCAAAGTTATTTTCACATGGGTCCGTAGACATTTCTGATTGTAGATTAAACAGAAGGGACTAGAACTTGATAATCAGGTGCCTCTGCTCCCATCCGACTCTCCTACACGTTTGCAGTCTCTGCTACCACACGTTGGAGGTTCCAGGTTAAAGCCTGTTTTCATGGGAGTGATAGCCTGTGTTTGTGTGCTTTTTTTTCCATTTTGGAATCGGCTGGTAGATAATTTACTGGTGAGAACACCAACTTAGATAAAATAGAAATTAACCAGCAAGGCCATATATCACACGTTTATAAACTGTTACGTTCACACGTTAGCAATTTATTACCTGTGCCTAAGTATATTATACTATTCTGAAACCTTTTAATTATTATTCCTTCCCTTTTCCCTTTTGCTAGTATTCAGATTCATCCCCGCTCTGATTTATAATTAAATAAGTTGCTTCTAGACAAACATAATTACTCAAGTCTGCAACCTGAGACAAAAATCTCTTTCAAGAGGAGTCAGATTTATCTCAACAAATGAGTCATTAAGTTTCATTTCTATTGCCAAGTGCACATTATCTTTTATTCAACATGATATACTGAATCCAGAAACTTCCCTGAATGCCAAAATGTCATTTCTCTCTCCTCACACTCTTCCTCCAGGGACCCAGGCATTTCTGTTCGCTCACCTCAGCCCTGATCCACATGCCTGCTATTTCCATCGCAGCCATCTCTGCGAGCTGCCAATCACACTGCACTTGGCCAGGAGGCTTGGAGCTTTTGAGTTTGTACAGCCAACTATCCAGAGACTGGGCTCACTCCACCCAACGCTTTTGGATTTTGATTTTGGCATTATTTTTCACACAGACTTCCAGAAATGAACAGTTGCTTCACCTAATCCCCATGCCACCAGGCTCTTTCTACTTATTTATATTACATTTCCTCAGCTACACCTTAGCAACCATGTAGAAGGAGATGACAGGCCCTTGCGGGTACACTGAGTTTCACCCATGCTGCCTGACTGCTGTCCAGGGGTCTTATTTACTGAAAATTTCACAACTGTGTGTATCAAAAAAGGAATGGCATAGAAGGGCAATGTTGCATGCAGGTCAGAAACCGGGTTCTCTGGTGAGAGATTTGGATTTGAACCACAGTTCCACTGTTACTTCAGCTGTGGAACCTCTCTTAGCTTTAGTTTTTGCATTTATAAAATGTAGAAAATAAAGCTTTCTCCCCCTCCAGCTCCCTCTGTCCCATATCACCACTGGGGTTGCTGTAAAACTTCAATGAAACCTTTTATTCTTGGAATAGTTACAGTGGCTTTGTTTTCCTGACTGATCCCAGGCTGATGGAGCTGGCTGTGGTCAGGTTCAGGAAGTTTCCGGAGAGTGGAATTCACTTGGAATAGGATACCTGCTCCTGTCCTCCATTGAGAGGGCTCATTTATAGATTATTTGAATAATATTTTTCTCCCCCACCACACTGTGACAACAAGTTCAGTGCTTGACACACAGTAGGAACTCAATTAGCATTTGTTGGAAACCAGCATGCATGTATGACTGCCTCTTTGCCCCACTGCTCATTCCTCTTCTCAAATATTTTCTCCCTTCCTCCCGCCACAGCATGGTTGGACAAAAGCCAGAATTTTCTTATAGAGCCTACACTTCTGGTCACATTTCATTGTTCCAGATCACCTCTGGTTAATCGAAATTTTTCTAAAGAGTTTTTCAAGTGGAAACCAATAGAAGGACCTCTATTGTCTACTAGTATCATAATAGCCTTTAAGCTACCCGTAGCCACTGTTTCAACAGTGTGAAGGAAGTCTGTATGGAGGAATGGAATGGACGTGGAAATAGGAGGCATGTGAGACGGTGAGAGAATCCTGTGAGTAGTTAAATCCCCTGGCTGGAGTAGTACCCAATGGACGGCATATTCCTCATCATTACAGTTTGGTAGTGAGGGGTGATATATCACCTTTCTTGCCTAAACAAGTCTGAGTTGAGTTTCCGTCATAGCACTAGAAGATATATGAGCTTGTACCCCAATAATTTTGTCATGACCCCACTCTTGCCTTCTCCTATGGCGATGCCCTTACTGTCCACTTTTGGGAGTCAAGAAGTGATAGAGGCAGAAGTTAAGGAGTTGAGTTAAAAAAGTAAACATGGGCACCTGTAAAGGGAAGGCAGGGAGAGCACGCCTGAGTGGTCTTCAAAAGCTAAGATGTGAGAGAACAAAATTAATATTAATTTTTTAAAGTTTATAAATGAGCGCATTCTGTTCTAGCAAAGAGAACCGAAGATAGCGTTAGGACAACCATTCCATTTCCAGTCATGTTAGTTACCTTATCCTCAGGATCTATGCTGATTTACAACTGCACTGAATCACACACTTGCTGTCATGTCACTGTTTATCTACCTATAGTCATTCTGCTGCATCAGTCTATAATCTATAGGAGAGCAGAGATCATACTATTCCCAGCATCTAGCATATTGCTTACCCCACAGTAGGTGATCAGTAAGTTTATGTTGAATGAATGAAATGTATTTGCACAAAGTATATA